TATGAGAATAATAATTGTTACATTTTTTACTCCCCATAATTTATCTATATATTCAGTAAATATTTTAAGCACTTATAATAGTCAAGGCAATGAGTTAGGCACAGAGATGTAAGGGGAGTGAGATTCTGCCCACATCTCATGGAGCTAGTTAGAGAATATAACTAAGGACCAGATCTGAGGAATATCTTAAGAAAGAATTATCAGATCACAAAGACTGATAAGATACAGGGTATGAAAGAGAGGGGAGAATAGAGATGCCAAATTTTCTCTCCAGGCAGACTGGATGGAGAATGGCATCATTAAAAGATAGGAAACAGGTTGGAGAAAAAGACAATCAACTCTGTTTGAGGCTTGTTAAGCTGAGGTTGAATAAGACACCCAGGAATAAGCTTAAGCCATAGGTCTGAGGCTTAGGAAAGAGGCCAGGATGGGAGAGAGAGGTCTGGAATTCATCTAAAGAGAGATCCTGGGAAGAGGGGAGTACTCATTGAGAGAATATAAAACAAGAATGATAGACCAGGGGCACCTGGTGATAAAAACTGAAAGGAAGGAAGGGAGTGAGAGAGGGAGACAAAAAGAGAAAGGCAGCAAGGAAGGAAGGAAGAGAGGGAGAGAGGGAGGGAGGGAGGGACAAGTAGGTAATTTGTGGAAGAGATAAACAGGGTACAAAGGGCTCATGAAAAGAAAATAAAGGACAGGAATAGATACAAAATGGCAGAGAGATGGAAGAGAAAGGAGTAAAGTTCCAGAGTCATGGCCAAGGGCAACACATTGGAAGGGTTAGCCTTGGAAAGGAGCCTCTGTCTCTCTCTCCCTCTCTCTCTCTCTCAGGAGACAGTGAAGAGGGAACAAATACTGATATATATTTTAGATAGGATACAGTAGACTTCAAAGGAGGAACGGTTGATTGGGAGTATGAAAAGTTGGGTTAGAAAAGGTTGTGATGTTCTGAGAAAACAACAACATGTAGAGAAGAACCTGGGCTGTGGAATGAGACCAGACCTAGACTCAAATTGCAGCTTTTACACTTGGTATCACTGTGACCTTGGGCAAGTACTTTTTATCTAATTGAGCTTCAGTTTAGTCTTCTATAGAAATGGCAAGTAACACGAACTATTCCGTAAGGCTGTTTCCAGGACTAAGAAAGACATTGCATGCGGAAGCACCTAGCTCTTGGCTGGACTTCCTTGAGGAATAAATGCTGAGGATAAAGTGGACCAAAAGATGGCAGTGGTTCTCAGCCTGGATGTGCATTGGAATCAGCTGGAGAGCTCCTCTAAACACAGGTTTTAGGCCTCACCCAGAATCACTTTCTGATTCAGTAGATCTGGGGTGAGGGTTGAAAATCTGTATTTCTAGTAAGTTCCCAAGCAACACTGACACTGCTGGTCCACAAAGCACTCTTAGAGGATCCCTGATGTAGAGAAATCATCCAAGGGAAAAGCTCAAAGGGTAAGAGACTTTTTGGCCCTAGAATACAGTTCCCAAAAGAAGATGACCACGTCTCTTTTCAGAGTTTATTTTCCTTTCATTTGCTTTGTTCATCATTTTTCTCTAGAACCTTTGCCATCCTATCTTAAGAGCAGACACTCTTAACCCAGATTTCTAAGAACCTGATATAGGAGCTGAAATTTAACAGGAACTCAACCAGCTGAACAGCTGGAGCAGTGAATGCAGAAAGAGAACTCCAAATTGCCTGATGAGAGAGGTACACAAGAGGTTAGTGGTGCCCAGTGTCTCCCCAAAAGGAGTTGAGCAAGGGCCACCAGGAAGTGGCAGGAGTTTGGGAGTCAGCCTGAGGAAACATGGTTTTGTTTGTTTTTGTTTTGTAGAAGCGGGTCTTGCCATCGTGCCCATGCTGGTCTCAAACCCCTGGGCTCAAGTAATCCTCCTGCTTCAGCCTCCCCAAATGCTGGTATTATAACCGCATTCGGCCAGGAAACATGGCTTTAAAAACAAGTGGAAATTGTCAGAATTTATATATTATTTTAACTTTGCTCTGTCTTTTCAATATTGCATGGTGCAAGTGTTATATTTCACGTTTCTGGATTTTTTATTTTAAATCACTTTTTATTTCTCGTGTTCTTTTCCCTGGCAATATCTTTATTGCTAAATAGTAGTGTATAACTCTTTGCCATGGATCAGATTATCTTTGAGCACTTACTTTTCCCTGTTTTGCTCCTAATTCCTTCCCATTGTGTTATTCAATTATTCTATTCTGTTGTATCCATTATTCACTACTTTTTTTTTTTTTTTCAAAAAATTGATTCTACAGAAATCGAACACCCTCATTTTTCATTTCTTGGAGTTACTTTGTAGAAACTCAACTAGATTATGGCTCCTAATGCACTAATGCTCTGCTGAGTGCATGTTGCCCCGCATTTTTATAAGTTCTGAATATAAAGTCTAAACCCATTCCTTTTCAAGATTCTCCTTTCATATATCGTTTAAGAAAATTGCTCAACCATCTAGCTTGCTTCTACTTAGTCCCTGACTCATTTCCTCACTGCTGAATACCCCATCATCCTTCCTACATTTATATTTTTAGAGCCAAGTTAACTTGATATTTAGTTGCCCAGTGTCACTGCAGCTGTGCTCTGCGGCAGGGACTGGGGAGAGCAGAGGCACGAGGACAACCCTGGTCAGGACATTAGTCCAGTATCAACCCTTTTCCCCTCTCTGCATCCAGCTTCTTACTACACCACACCTGTGGTCTCTTTCATTAACACATTTTTGACGTATTTTTCAGTTTTCTTAAACATACAGTCCTTAATGTCTTGCTTTGTGCATGTTGAATACTCAAAGCCCTGATTATAGAAATGACTAAATGGCAAGCGGATGAAACACAGACCCATCACAGCTTGATCCTGTCCAATTGCTTAGCTACTGTCTCATTGTAACTCAGGACACCTTGCAGTTCCCTGCATTTGCCATGCTCCCTCATATCTGCAAATCATTGCACAGGTCACTCCCTTCCCATTCTGCTTTCTCTGACTAGCTTTGGCATTGCTTCCTTCTTTAGAAAATCACCCCTACCCCCCTCCCTGGGGTGGGTAGCCCTCTCATATACTAAAAACATCCTGACTTCTTTGCTCTAAAATCATATTTCCACTGTCAGCTTGCTTGTGCTGCTCCTTAACTAGACTGTGAGCAACTGAAAAGCCGGGGCTGTTTCTCTTGCACAGTTGCAATCCCAGCTCCTACCTTGATGCCCAAATGGTAGTGTTTGCAATAATGAGGCTATGCTGAAAGGCAGGGGTATATTAGTCCATTCCCACACTGATAATAAAGACAATCCTGAGACTCAGTAATTTATAAAGAAAATGAGGTTTAATGGACTCACAGTTCCACATGGCTGGGGAGGCATCACAATCATGGCAGAAAGCAAAGGAGGAGCAAAGCCATGTCTTACATGGTGGCAGGCAAGAGATCATGTGCAGGAGAACTCCGCTTTATAAAACCATCAGTCAGATCTCGAGATTTATTAATTATCACAAGAATAGCATGAGAAAGACCCACCCTCATAATTCAATTACTTCCCACCAGGTCCCTCCCATGACACATGAGAATTATGAGAGCCGCAATTTGAGATTTGAGTGGGTACACAGCCAAACCATATCAATGTGTTTCTATCACTGATAGCTGCCATGGGCGTGGAGAAGCGTGGTAAGGTGTGAGATACTACAGAAAGAAAATGGGGTGGCTCATGAGACACAGGGCAATGGAAGGGGAGAAGTCAAACATGGCAGCCAGGACCTGGGGGATGGCTTCCCACCTGCCACGATGATTACAGGTACCCATCACCTTAACAGAGGCTGAGAAATTTAAGTTTTGTGAACAGAACACAAGTATTCCTATACCAGATAGCTTATTTTGCAGTGTTTTTAATAGAGAAAACTACTATTTATTGGAACACAATAAAAATGGCTAAATTAACTTTTATAAAATTGTGACTAATACAAAGCAATAAATAGGTGGTTAAAAAACAATTCTGGAACCAAAGAAGGAGGGCACATAATGCCATTCATACTGAGGCAGGTGTCCTCATTCATCTTCCTTCGCCTTTCTCCTAGCTACAGCCCAGCATAAGCACCTTTATCTGGGCTTCTTTCCAGCTGTTAATCAGTGGGATCACATGTGCAAAACACTGGTGTGGCACTGTCCTAGGCCTTCTGAGAATATCAATGTCTCAACTCTTAAAATCTCAAGACTTAATTCCTCCTTTTTGGAGTAATTAGGCCTCCTCCCCACTCCTCCCACCCGCTTCCTCTCCCTGTCTCTGTCTCTCTCTGTGTCTGTCTCTCTTTTTCATCTTCCTCCTTGTCCTCCTTTCCTTCTTTTCCTGTCTCTCTCTCTCTCACACACACACCTGCACACACACTATGTTTCTTCCTGCCATATGAGCTTTACATGGATGAAAATGTATTCTCAAGCAGTCCCTAGTTCTCTCCCCTCCCATCGTATTTTGGTGAAAACACCCTGTGACTTAACACTTACAAAACAGAATTTAACACTGATTCCTAATTACATCAAAATCTGACATGGGCTAGAAGAATTTAAAACCAATGCATTGTTCCATGACCTTTCCTTTTTCCAATGTGTACATCCTGCCTTTCCTTCCAGATCCAGCATCCAATCCATGCCATTTGGGGAACCTTTCCCAAGTCCCAGCCCTCAGCTAACAAATTCTCCTCTTAGTTCTTATTGCATGTATTTTCTATAACAATAGAAACTAAGCACTTGTTTCTTAAATATTTTTAATGGATTGTTCCTTAGAAAAGGCACTAATTAGTCTTTCCTTTAGGATTCCCTTGCTCCTAGCAGTGTCCAGGACCAGACAGCACTCAATACACTCAATAACTACTTGTTACATTTAACAAACTGCCTTTATGTTTCAAGCCACAACTTAGTTCCCTTTTTGGAATAAATGTTTGGTGATGCTTCTGAGAACATTTCATGAGAGATAGACATTAGTCCCACACACAAAAGTTGCTTCTTACCATATAGTTTTGACTCAAATTCTGGTCCTTGCTAGAGAGCCAAGTGGTCTGTGTTTTCTCATCTTGCTGTGTAAGACATCCCCATTACTCTTCATCTAAGAAGCCTTCATGCACTCCCAGGAGCCCAGTACATTAGGAGGCAACCTCCAGGTAAGCAAAGACTCTGCCTCTCACCCTGTCTGCCCAAGTCCCTTGCTGCACACTTCTCCGCAGGAAGAAATCAGTCCTGAGCCAGCAGAGAGAGAGGGAGGGAGGGAGGACCAGGGTGAAGCGCTGTGGTGGAGCCCTCCCTCTATCCATCCACTGCTCTGCGCGGGAGCGAAGTGCAGGTGCATGAGGGCTGGTGCCTGCCAGCCTGATTACCCTCATCATGGAAGCTGCCAGACAACTTCAGCACATTCTGTGGCATGGAAACTGCCGAGAAAGAACACTGTCAGCAGTGGCATTTCTAACACAGGGAAACAATGTATGAAGCAGAAGAAAAAGACAAAAGCCCCTCCACCCACACACTCGGGCTATACCCAAAACATCCTGGCAGGAATATGACTCCTGACTCCCTGTGAAAGGAAGATGTCCCAGAGGGGCCCTGAGACTAGCACTCTTTGACACTGGTGACTAAAGATTACAAAAAAGTAGAAACCATGTCATTATCAAAGCCTGACACTCTAGATAGGTGTTACACAACTCCATCTACTTCCTAACTCCTGTCTTTGATTTTTGTCCATGCAGTTCCATGTTTCTTGTAGATATTTACATTCATATCTATCCAATCCATATATTTATAGGTATAATATATAGTATATATTTATAGATATACTATATATAGTATATATTTTTATATATAGTATATACGGATGAATAATATGTAATCCATATATTCATATGTGTAACATATAGTAGAAAATATATACTATATAACATATAGTATATGTAATATATAGTAGAAAATATGTACTATATAACATAGTATATATAGTTATTACATAGTAATATATTGTAATATATATACTATACATGTAATATATAGTATTTTGTATATATACATAGTTTATATATAGGTAATATATAGTAAAAAAATACTATATACATGTATGAATATATGGATTACATGTCATTCATCTGTATATATCATTCATCCAGAGTTTTTGTGCTACATTCGGTTACCTTTTTTCCTTTCTTCTTTTTTTTTTTTTTTATAGAGACAGGGTCTTCCTCTGTCACCCAGGCTGGAGTGCAGTGGTGCAACTGTAGCTAACTGCAGTCACATATGCCTAGACTCAAATGATATTCTCACCTCAGCCTCCTGAAGTGTTAAGATTATTACAGGCATGAGCCACCATGCCTGGCCAGTTTGTTTGTTTTAATTCAGCTATTTTACAGTAAAAAAAAAAAAATCACTTTGGTAAAAGAGACTTGCTAAACTTTACAAATGTTTTGAGGTCATGGAAACTTTATTTTTTTAAACAACAAAAAAGCAGGAAATTGATAAAAGTTAGAATAATGTGTATGTGAATATATATGCACACACAGACAAAATGTGGCAAATAATAAAATGCATCCCATGGTGTAGCCCTTTCCATCTAAACAAACACTCCTGTATCTTGAACTTCCTCAGAGGACACACCTTTTGCTGCCCATCTTCACTGAGATCTGGCTTTTACAGGAGGAACCCCACATCCCCTGTGGTCTTTTCAGACTCATGTGTCCACTCTCCCACATTCCACATGCCTTAGAATATGTCAGGAAGTGAGCTTCCTACCCTTCCTCCTCCCTCACTGTCCTTCACTCTCTGTCAGCAAAACTGTCCCCTGTTAATAGCACTTCTGGAGCAAGATATATCCTCAGAGTATCTTTCTGCTTATATTGGGGAAGAATGGGAACTCTCCCCTCTCCTCTCTGATTTTCATTCTCTAAAAACTCTGTTATTCCAATTCTTGGATTAATGAACTTTGTTTTTCTTTCCTAAACATATTCTTCTGATCTTGATCTTATTGTACTGTTTTTTCTAGTAACGAAAGCACGCCTCTCTTTTTCAAAAAAAAAAAAAAATGACACATGCATTGCCTATGCAAAGGCAGTTGCATATTGCTTGTAGGAAGCTTTCTTATTACTATTTGAATGTTATTGGAAAGAAATTGGATTTTCTGTGCATGCCTGATTCCCCTGCATGCATGCTTTTGTCAAAATTTTGACATAGTAAATACAGACCTCCTCCATGTGGACTCCAATTGATTAATTAAAGGGGAGATTCACTGCTAAATTGTCAGCAGCTGTTGGCTAGAACAGAGGCTGGGGAGTCATACACCAAAAAGGCTAGCAATGGAAAAGGACTATTTCTAGAGAACTCGGTGGAAAATAAATTCTGCTTAATCTGAACCTTTTATGGTTCATAGACTAGGGTATTTCATTTATTTTCTATTTAAAGACAAGCAACTCACATTAAACACTTTTTTTTTTGGAGACGGAGTTTTGCTCTTGTTGCCCAGGCTAAAGTACAATGGTACGATCTCAGCTCACTGCAACCTCCACCTCCCAGGTTTAAGAAATTCTCCTGCCTTAGCCTCCTGAGCAGCTGGGATTACAGGCATGTGCCACCACGCCTGGCTTATTTTATATTTTTAGTAGAGACGGGATTTCATCATGTTGATCAGGCTGGTCTCGAACTGCTGGCCTCAGGTGATCCACCTGCCTCAACCTCCCAAAGTGCAGGGATTACAGGTCTGAGCTACTGTGCTCATTAAACACTTTTTTTTTTATTATACTTTAAGTTCTGGGACACATGTGCAGAATGTGCAGGTTTGTTACATAGGTATACACATGCCATGGTAGTTTGCTGCACCCATCAACCTGTCATTTACATTAGATATTCCTCCCCAGCCCCCCCGGCCCCTCAACCCACAAAAGGCCCTGGTGTGTGATGTTCCCCTCCCTGTGTCCATGTGTTCTCATTGTTCAAGTCCCACTTATGAGTGAGAACATGCAGTGTTTAGTTTTCTGTTCCTATAAACACTTTTTTTCCCCTTTCTTTTTTTTTGGACCAAGGGTTAAGAAATGCATGGAAAGACATATTGTTCAATACAAAAGACATTTCATTAGCATTGAAAGGCACAGCCAAGAAATGCAATTCACTTGGTATAAGACCATGATAAAGACCACTGAGGAAGAAAAAGCTAAGACAACTTCAATTTGCAAGCTCTCTGAATGATGCAATCCCATATTCTGAGTTGTGTCATTAACAGGGAATGTGCATGACCATGTGGAATTTCAGATCTGTTCAGGATGGTAGACAGAAGAAGAAACTTCTAACTAATATCAAGAGCAGAGGATGTCAAGAATAAGTGTTTGATCCATAGGCATAGTTACTGATTGTAAGGGGGAATAAGAAAAGAAGAAAGGAAAGAAGTCAGCAGCCAAGGAGAGATTCATGGAAGAAAGGGTTCAGAAGGATAGAACTCCCTAATAATTCATGTCAGTGACAATTCCTAAAGGTAATTCCTGATCCTCTCACAAAAGCTGAAATTGACATTTTCTCCATCTGCATTCAGTCTTGCCAGGAGCTCGTAAATTTGGGGCCACACCAGGGTTCTGACCTAACCATGATGGAGAACTCAATTGGGAGAACAGGTTATCCTCTGAGCTGCTGCACACAGCACCAAGGGCCACCTGTGAGTCACAGCCTATGGGAGGTTGGGGAACATCTGGTCAAGTTCATCTCTTGCCAGCACCAAGGGTCTGACTCTGATACTGGTGTCTGTTTTAAGTGTACCTCTCTCTCCAACACAGCATCTTTGGAACATCAGGATGTTGCATAATGACTGGGTGGAATCCAAAAACCAAGCCACACATGTAGAACTATGAGAAACCACATGTGGAAGAGAAAAATAACCTCAGCTTGAATGTTTTTTTATTCTCAAAGCAGTAAATGTGTTGGAGGCCACGTTGAATATTTGATACAGACTGAGAATGGATGAGTATGTGCTGTGCTGATAAACTCCTGCACTAAAGAGACTTAGGAGTATTTTCAAAATAACCTTATTAGCTACCATTCATGCCATATACCTTATAGACATTATCTCTGATTATCCAATACACCACAAAGTGGCTATTATTATTATTCTTTTTCCAATTAGAAAACTAACCACTGAACCAACAACTGTCTCACAAAGCTTCCACAGCTGGTAAATCAAAAAGGTAAGTTTGGACACAATTTCCTTTGTCTCTGAAGCTTACAGTCCTCCTACTCATTATGCTTTCTTCGCTATCTAACTACAAATGCAAAGTTGCAAAAGGGAAGACTCCTTGAGCTTGCTGCTTAACTCCAAAAAGTAGCAGAGGGTAGCCAGTGCTGTGCAGTTCCATGTGCCACTAATGTGTTCCCCACCTCTGAGAAGAGAAGTAGCAGACCCTGAATCCCTTACCACTAGGCAATCTCATTTTGGTGTGGGTGTCAAATAAGGCACAGAAGATTTTCCACATCCTATGTCCATCATTATGTGGATGAAATCACATTAAGATAAACATTTCTGGCTCTACTTAAAAGATGCTAAAGAAAGACCAAGAGTGGGGACTAAAAAGGGAAGGGGAAGACAGTAGTATGCACGTTGCCTTGATGCCACGGTAACAGTAACTACTAAGAGTCAGAAGGACCTGGGTTTCTTATGAATTGTTCATTGTAAGTAAAAAGTCCATTACAGACTAATTGGGTGACCCTGAAACAAGAGCCTAAGCTCTCCATACCACCATTTCCACATATATTTTGTGTATATACTAATAAGCACCTACTTTGTACCCAGCCTCCCCACATATTTTTCGATATTGTAAAAATCTTACTTTAATTTTTGCCCAATTATTTCAAATATTTTCTAATGTACGGAAAAATTGAAAGAATAGTACAATATGCCCTTCTGCTAGATTTACCAGTTGTTAACATTTTGACACATTTGCTTTATTCTGCATGTATGTGTGTATTATTTTGGAAAAGCATTTGAAAGTTAGGCACAGATATCAGGCCACTTCATCCCTAACTACTTCAGCAAATAACTCCTAGGAATGAGATGTTAAGAAGCAGAGATATTTCAGCCGGGTGAGGTGGCTCATGCCTGTAATCCCAGCACTTTGGGAGCCTAAGGCGGGCAGATCACAAGGTCAGGAGGTTGAGACCATCCTGGCCCACATGATGAAACCCTGTCTCTACTAAAAATACAAAAATTAGTTGGGCGTGGTGGCGTGTGCCTGTAATCCCTGCTATTTGGGAGGCTGAGGCAGAAGAATCACTTGAACCAGGTAGTCAGAGGTTGCAGTGAGCAGAGATGGTGCCATTGCATTCCAGCCTGGCAATGGAATGAGACTTACCACTTACCACTAGGCAATCTCATTTTGGTGTGTCTAAAATAAATAAATAAATAAAAATAAGCAGAGATATTTCACATCAAGAGGTTGTT